TATCTATACTTCTACTTAAGTAACAAATGTGTTTACTTTTGACACCACTGGTAAACAGCTTCACTGGGGGTTATAGAAACTTGTTTAATTTGTGATTTGTACTTGTATTCTTGAGAAATTACCACTGCTTGTATTTGTAACTTCTTAACCTGTATTCTTACTGATGAAACATCTGATGTCACATATGTATGAGTTGAAACAAAGAATAAACACAAATTTTAAATGTAGTTCTCATTTATTGACTTACATCTACAAATTCAAACACCTTTGCTTATATCTTAATTTGACAGTTTTTTGTACCCTACATTGTTTTATCTGGACAGCATGGAAAACAGAAACTATATCAACTTGTTCACATGTTGTTTACAGGAAAGAAAGCTGTATTTGATGCCTGTGTTTGTGTTCTGTGTCACATGATCAGCTCTTTGGACTGTACGTACAAGACAAGTCTAGGGGAAAGCTGGCTGTACAGAGGGCAGCAGAATCATTAATGTTAGTTTATGATGTCCAATAAAATGAAAACTTGAAAAAGCATGGATAACAATTCTTTCTTCTTTCTTTTAGTTTTATACAAACAGGATTAACTAGGATTGATCTGATCTTATATTATAAAGGACATTAGCTGTGTGTTGAGGGCATCTCTTAAAATGAAAGACTCAAAAAAACTATAGTTGGACTAAATCTGTGTTTTAAGGATAAAACTGCTGTATTTCTTTACCCTTTAAGCATGCTCTTGCTTTGAATAAATAAAATGGTTGAAACCAAACACTGATTATTGAATGATCCTGATTAGAATAAATGAATAGTTAAACAACAACAGAAAGAAGTGTTTGTGTTTACAGTCATATCTAATTCTTGTTCATCTTGGAGTAAAATGATTTTAAATTTTTACCTGATCAAACAGATGCACCACAACATCCTCTTCAAATGACACGCTCTTCTTCATTTTCTCAGCCTTGTTCCCTCTGCATGGTCTTTGTGGATGTTCTTCATTTCTTAGGGATTTCTGATGGCTTTCTGGATTATATGCCATTATATTATTTCTGTCAACATCCTCACAACTTGAAATTAAACAAAAATATTGTTGGGCATTGCTGTGCTTCCTAATAGACATCTCATTTTTACTCCCAGAACTTCCATTATATTTCATAAGTGTTGTTAAATTCCGAGAGCAGTAAATATCACTAAATGTATCTACAGTTATAGTATAACTATCAGAAAGAATGATGAAATGGGAAAAGGTATCCAACACAATGGTATGGTATTGGGACGCCTTATTCAAGATTGTTTGTATCCAATCAAAAATGCCCCTCCTGTGTAAAAAAGACCCTGTCCTGTTGTCCAGGTTTGGTAAGTTTTTGATAAAAGGATCTAAAAATGCTGGCACTGATTTTCGCCTTAGCGCCCTTTGAGGACAACATGGTTGACGAAAGTATGAACAAGATGAAGCTAGCCGATCTGATGCAGCCTCAGAGCTGCTCCATGAGTTTAGGGTGGAACCTTTCTTCCTATCAAGGATACAGACGCTGGTCCCCACTTCATGGTCCTCCTCAAACTCTAATATCTGCTCTGAAGACGTCCAGCATCCATCTTCCTTCCTGCATCAATGATTCATGAGAGCAAAAGAAAACAATAATATTTACATGTATGTTTTTATTCTATGGATTAATGTGACAATTATTTCTAAGCGTTTTTGCTATTTTATATTTTTATTTCTGTCATTTAAGCAAACATTGCTTTTGTAAAAATACATTTCAAAGATATAAATGTCTGCATGCAACACAACAAATGTTTAAAAAAATTCATTCATAAAAAGATAAATCAAGGCCTAGTGGACACAAATACAAAAACTGAATATTTTAATTAACCACTGAGATAAAAAAAAAAAATTGAAACCACACAAATAATGTACACAGCATAAAAGAAGATGTGGTAATACATATTCCAAACCCTTTGGTGGCGCAGTGACTGTCCAAAACTAACTAACTAACTAACTAACT